TTGTGTCCTTGACTTCTCTTTGGATCAGCCTTTCTTCTACCTCCTTATTCCTGGAGTCCTTCAGCTCTCCATTCCTGGACATAGCTTACAAGGGTAGGAGCTGCCTAAAGGATGATAGACTGAATCTGGGGTTTGGGGAGTAAGAGAAGTCTAAACTGGTAGATCTGCCCAGTGTTCAGTTGTTCCTGGTAAGGCATACTTAGAATCAGGAAAGGAATCCAAAGAAAAAAAAACACTGGGAAGAAGAACTGGAACTGATAGGGCTATTATCACAAGAAAGGGGATAATTTCAGAGTGAGACTATGAAGGGTAAGTTTTTGGGAATAATTTGCTTTATAGAAGATGGACTGGTAGACCGAATCAGCTCTCCCTTTGATGCTAGAAAGGGTTATGTGGCTGTCACTCTGGCAATCTTTAACACCCGCAACCCTTTCTTGACCTTACTCTCAATGTGGACACTCGATCTTCTGCCTACTAACACCTCCCCTCTATCAATACAGCAAAGAATCTGAAATAAAACTAACATTTGTTGGTGATTACACTTTGCTGTAAATTTTAGTGACTATATTAGCTAAATCAGTCATTGTCATGTTAAGTGCTTTAAAATCTCTAATTGTGGAATGAAATATTTTGTTTTCTCTTAATACTCTCAGTAAGCAGATAGGAAGATATTCTCACTCTTTATCTCCAGTCCTGAAGGGAATGTTTCTTTTCACATTCCTAAAAATCTGTGAATCTTTTCTGAAATCACTACATTGTTTTAATCAAGTAGCACTAAAATACTTGATAGTTCAGTCATGTGAAATCCAGTTGCTATCTGCTGAAGTCACATGTCCAGCCGAGTTCAGACATCAGTGATTCCTTACAGACATCAGTTGAACTCTGGTTCGATTCCCTTCTCTGTGCTTCCACTTTGCCTTGTTAATCTAGTGCCACAGGGCCTCCAGTAGGTCAGATCTTTCAGCCTTTTAATTCCAAAGAGTTCCTGCTGGGAGGAAATCATTCAGCAAATTGTTTTTAAAAATCTCTACTACCTCATTATCTGATTGCGTTAAAATAAACAGAATGTCCCTAATCTTCTTCCACTGCTTTCATGTAAATGTCCAGCAAACCGGCTACTATTAAGGGCCTAAACATCAGAAGCTTCAAACTGATTATTCTTTAAATATTTGTTTGACATTTAGAGGAACAGGAAAAAGTAAATTTTCTATTATTAGAAAGTATATAAAGATTCAGAATTACTCAGTTGCCTTTCTCTAAACAAATCTCTAATCAAATGTTCAAAGCATAGATCATGTTTAGAAGTAGATGAGTATAATGCATATTCGCATACATACACACATCCTACATATCTATACATATGTAGTTCTTGTTCTATAGTTTGTCAAACCAGACAACTATGGCAACGTTGAGGCATAAAAATACTTTAAGTAAATTAACATCAGAGAATTGTATCATGCTGTGCATTATTCAGTTTCAGGTTTCCAGTGGAGATGGTGTGTGAACATTGCTAATATACTCACTCAACAGAGTGAGGTCATACTGTGGGGAGGGTGTTTCTTTCCCCTTCGCGGACATCTGCTTCTGTGGGAACAGGGCCAATTTGCATTTTTGCAGTTGTATAAAGAGGAGAGTGTGGAAACTCAAGTTAATGGCACCCCCCAATGCTTTCTTTAGTGCCCCTGAGATATTTTTTCCCCTGGATAGTTGCCTGCCAGTCTTGACTCATGGTCCAGCTCTGACTAAATTCCTACATCCATTATGAAGGAGCCAAATCATGTAAGACAAGTAGATGGCATGTACTTTGGCATGAAGTTATCATTGCCAAGGTTACATATAACCTTTTGATTTGGGGGATGGTTTTGGGTAACTGAAAAATACCTATTTAGTTATTATGAGCATGTGGCAAATCTTTTCTTCTCCTAGGTATGTAACATTCTGCATCTGTAGGATCAGAGTGGGATATGATAGAGACTAACTAGTCTTGAGTTATGAAATCAAGTATGCGATGAATATTGAAAATATTGTCAAGGAGTGGTTGAAGTGATGATATAGAAGCTATGCTAGGAGAGGGTTTGTATATGATAAAAAAGGATAGAGGGACTGGTGGCCTAGATGGGGTTGAAGAGAGAATGAAGTGAAAAGGTCAGGCAAAGAGAGGTTGGTGGCATTATGGGACTTTCTAATGCTGTTTCACAAGTGGAGTGATGACCAAGTCCAGTAGAATGATGACAGAGAATTGTCCCAATAGAATGGGTGTGAAGGGTCTTAGAGTTTCGGAGTAGATATTATTCAAGTCTGGGTTGTTAGCTGGCTCATCAATATGAGTGGTGAAATTACCTGAGATAATGGTTTGCTTGGTATGGAGAGCAAAATTGTGACTCAGATAGTCTTCTGTATAGGGGAGTGAAAGAAGAATGTAGGTAACAGCAACGAGGAAGGAAGACTGAAAGGCTTAGCAGACAGTAGGCACCTACTAAGAAAGAAGGGTGGTTATATAAATCAAAGAATAATAACCAGAAAGTGGCAAATAAGCATCTTTCCCCATCAGTCCTATCCCCATCTCTCAGATCTCCCCTGGGAAGACAACAGAGAAGCAAGATCCTTGGGAAGTCAAGTTTGGGTGAGGCCAGAAGGTAGATGTAACTTTCTGTGATGCAGTTAAGAAATGTTTTGACAATGGATCGGAGGAAATGTCAATAGTTTTTGGTTTGGAATTTGGAAGAGATCAGCATTGGGAGGAAGAGAATCTTCACTGGTGACATAGTACTATATAGAAGTGAGTATCCCGAGAGCAAAGGAATGGAAGGCGTTAGCTTTGGGGTGGTGGTTGGGATATCAGGAGTAAGAGGTGTGTGTGTGGGTATAAATGGGGTAGACACTTCCAGTAGGCATTGACTGGCACCCAGAGCAATGTGGAATATCTGAGGATAGTAATTATAGGCAAGCTCTTTTGTGTGGACCCAAGCTATGATTTAGTTCCATGTATTTGCTAATAGGGTTATGTAATTTTTGCCAAATGTGCTCATGGACTACATTGGGAAGAACTTTGCCAATTAGGATTCTAAAGTCTATTTAGCTTTTCTATCCTATATAGAATATATAGCTATTTTGAAGTTTTATTTAACTTTTAATCTTTGGGTTTTTTTTTATTATTTCCAATTTTTATCACAATCACCAGTTAAGTTTAAATCACCTCAGTTTTAATAGGTTTTAGGAACTAATGTTGGGGCATTTATTGAAATTACACAATAATTATTATTCAAAATTCTGCATGACTTTCCATCATTTTAAATAGATTTTTTCATCTATTATTGCACATTATTAAATATAGGTTATGTTTTTATTTTCTTTAAAAGCAAGTAATTATGTTATATGAAATGGAAAGGTTGTTTCTGGCATACAATGACTATTTTTGATATTTATGACTCAGAACTCAAAGGCCGTCTTAAAATTTCAGTTTCAACAGAAAATCATAAATGGAATCCCCATTTAAAAAAATCCCTGATACATAAATAAAATGAGTAATTGAGCACTTTTAGCTGATATCTACATTGTTCTAATGCTTAATGGAATGGATTCAAATTGCCCATGTAAACACTACCATTGATGCAACTCATTTTGTGCTGCTTGTCATGATAGCACAATGGAAATTTGAGAACTTATTTGGACAAGTGACATTTCTGACACTAAATCTGCCTTGTTAATAGTATGTGTGGAAGTGATTAAAACTTTGATTTGGTAATACTTTTATTTAAATTGTCCAGGTATTAAGAACAAAATAAGGGCCGCACCGGTGGTGCAGTGGTAGAGTGCTGGGCTGCGAAGCAGCCTGCAGCCTCTGCAGCGCCGGTTCGATCCCCGGCCACCAGTGAGGGTCCCACATGGCGCGCAGACCTCTCCTGCAGTGCCCACTGCTCCCTTCAGCAGTGTACTTCGTCAGTCTGCCTGTTCTGCTCCACGCTCTGGCTCTGGTGAATTCTCTCACCCTCCTGTGCTTCTGACTGTACCCAGTGCTTGTATAAATAAATAAATCAATCTTTTTTTTTTTTTTTAAAAAGAACAAAATAAAACTATATTTTGCTTTCTTCATCCTTGGGATTTTTCTGACTTCACATTTTTAAGGTTTTTCTGCTTGCAAAGTGTGGTTGAAATTAAATCCATTATGAATTTAAAAATTAAACTGTATCTCTGTGGGAGAGAGACAACTGTCCCTTACATTGAAGACCCTCGGGTTCATTGGGAATGATGGGAGGAAGTATAAAGCATATTTTTCTAGCCAGTCTTTCTTCATATTTGGTGTCTGGATGACACTTTCTAACCTGAAGTATTTGTATGCTTAGTGGAGCAGCTCATGACTAGTTGAAAGAGCAATCCTTATTAGAATCCTTAATAAATAGTAAATAAAGAGAACATAGAGCAGATCTGTGAGTAAACCGTTCACTATGGTTCATCATACAATTTGGGCATCTGAAAAATAGTGTAATTTTTGTTGGTTAAAAAAAGATCTACAGCCTCCCAGTGGGCAACAGTTGAGCACTGGGTTGCGAAGCTGCCCGCAGCCTCTGGAGCGCCGGTTAGATCTCTGGCCGCCGGGCTAGGGTCCCACATGGCGCGCAGACCTCTCCTGCCGCCCGCTGCTTCCCTCAGCAGTGTGCTTCGGTCCTTCTGCCTGCTCTGCTCCCCGCTCTGGCTCTGGTGAATTCTCTCACCCTCCCGCGCTTCTGACTGTACCCAGTGCTTGTACAAATAAATAAATAAATAAATAAATCTTTAAAAAAAAAAAAAAAAAAAGATCTGCTTACCCATAGGCACTGAAGGTCCGGCACCCAGGAAGATGGCGCAACTATGTATCTGAACTAAAATAGTTCAGCTATCTAACATGCTTTCACCTGAGCTGTTGGCCTTGATAATTGGTTTAGGTGAAGAGTGACTTTTCTTTTAACCCTCCCTTCCCTAGGATAAGGCAGTCCTCATAGATTTGCTTTTCTTTACTGCAGGACATTTGTGAAGATATTTCAGATCATGTTGAGCAAATCCATGCCCTTCTTGAAACGGAGTTCTCCCTGAAGCTGCTGTCCTATTCTGTCAATGTGATTGTGGACATCCATGCAGTGCAGCTCCTCTGGCACCAGCTCCGTGTCTCAGTGCTAGTTCTGCGGGAACGCATTCTACAAGGTCTGCAGGACGCCAATGGCAACTATACCAGGCAGACAGACATTCTACAAGCTTTCTCTGAAGAGACAAAGGAGGTGGGTATTTTCTTTGATGCCAAGTAATGCCTTGTCAGGTGGGACCCTGAGAATGTTTCAGTTCAGAGATGTGGAGCACGAATTCTTGGTAGGCAAATAAGCAGGTATAGTGACTAGAGGCTAAGGCACTTCCTCTGGGAATGAGACTTTAGTCCAGAGTTAGTTCACTTCTGGTAGTTTGCACAGATACTACCCTTAGTAGTTAGTGCTAATGTGGCTTCCTAGTCACTATTTAATTACTTGATAAATATTTGTTAAACATGTACTATATGCCAGAAAATAGGTGGCAAAAATATAATAGTTGCCAAAACATGGTCTTTGCCTTTAAGGAGTTTAGAATCTAATGAAGGATGGAGACAAGGGAAAAAACATTAAGGCCAGTCATATTAGGTGTCTGGATGACATGGTGATAAGTCTACATGGTGCACTGGAAGACAGAGATGTGGCATCTAATTCAGACATGTGAGGCTTTCCATAAGAAGGGAATCTAACCTGAGACCTGCAGAAGAATCAGGATTAGGGTGGTAAACAGAGATAGAAAATATTCTAGACAGAGAATGAAATAATCTAAGATAAAAAAATTCAGAGAGAATGACAGACCCAGTGAGCTATAGATAGGACTAGAGCAGAAATTTCAAGGGACCAGGAAGCAAGATTTGAACCAATAGGTAAGCAGAGGTCTGATCATAAAAATAAAAGTCATATTAAACAGTGACTTTTAGAGACTTGGACCTCAGTTTGAGGGCAGAAGAACAAGTTTTCAGGAAATTATCATGATTAATGCTTTAGAAAAGTTCTTCTGGATGCCGTATATCAAACGAACTTTAGAATATTATATAACCAATATGTTTAGATTTTTGTACTTTTATTAAGATTAGTTTAAAGAGGTTGTTATCCTTGATGGATAGCTTAGGAATGGACACTGTAACTTTGAATCCAAGTGAAATTTCCTATTCCCAAATAAAATTGACATTTGATAGAACAAAGCATTGTGCTAGCTAAGCAGAGGCTGTGTGTGTATGTGTGTGCATGTGTGTGTATAGACAGATATAGATGATACCATATATATGATACTATATAAATAGATGGTACCATATGAATAGATAAAATTTAAAAGTCTTATAATAAGTGCTATATAATTTCTCAATGTTTCAGTGACTGAGTAGCACAAAATAAATCTGTAACTATTATCATAAAACTATTCTTATAAAAAGCACAAAATAAATCTGTAACTTAACTGATTATTGTCTTCAAAATAATGGTATTCGTCCTGAGATAAATTCCCTGTAGGACATGGAAGCCTATGGGAATCAAGTCAGTCTAGATTCACTTCTAACTTTGAGTCATAGTCTTGGACTTTGTCTTTATTTAGCTCTCCCTGATATTATGGTAATAAGGGAGGTCATAAAGACTTTGGCAGCATCCTTTCTAAATCATAGGATGAATATGTGGATGTGTGTCTTAGTCCTCAATGCCATCCCTCCCTACTAGATTCCCTAGAGGGTCCTTGATTAGGACTCCATAGTTACGGGAGACTGCAAAGAATCTTAAACTGCCTGACTCTGTTCTAAATATGGTGTCCATGAGGTATGTGCTAAAAAAGGTGGCGATTAGAGAGGGTGTAACATTTGTCTAAACTCTGAAGAGCTCTTTCTTTAGATATCTACCTGTCATTCCAAGTCTATATATTTTATTGTTCTTCCCATTGTGTTCTATTGACTCTGTCCAATGTCCAGTATTGATCAATCATTAGATCTACCCGCTTTCTATTTTTAATCATTTGTGTATCTACCACAGCACCTAAGTCATTTTGCTGTGTATAAAAATTTGAATTAAATAAGGCATATGCTCTCTGATTTGTAAAGGATGAAGCTATTACTTTAGGTTGGTGGACTGGGATTAATAATAGGGATTAACTGAGTCATAACTTCAGCCTGTAGAGAATTGAAGTCCTTAAGAATTATTACTATAGTGTAAATAAAATATTTGAAAGATTTTTGTATATTTTCCATTTGTCCATTAGAAATTAAACTTTGCTTTGTTTTCCGTTTTCTATCATTACTTGCTCTCTCAGTCCACTGCTGCTTTGTAGATTGTATTCAGAATCATCGAATCCCAACATGATAGAGCTGAAAGAATCTGAACATGAGTCTAGTCCATGTGGTGTGGGGGCTTGGGAGGGCAATGGTATTTTGGTAAGAGGCACTTGATTTTTTGTGTTAGTAAATGAAGCATACCAAAGTAAGACTAGGGGAAGAAGGGGAGAGATTCATACGAAATTTTTACCATTCCCATAACTTAAAACAGTGAAATCTGTTTCCAACTCTTTTTTCAATAAGAACACAAAATCAGGGTACATAACTGACCATGACATAGTAATGGACACTGATACAACCTTGAGGAATCTTACTAGGTAGATCTTCAAGTCTCTAAATTATAAGTATTAAATCACATGTTCAGTTGGTAGCGAAATATAGCGTTAAAAAAGAAAGATCTACAGGGCCTCCCCTGATGGCACAGCGGTTGAGCGCTAGGCTGTGAGGCTACCCGCAGCCTCTGCAACGCAAGTTCATTCCCCGGCCGACGGCGAGGGTCCCACCAAAAAAAAAAAAAAAAAAAAAAAAAGAACTACAAAGACATTGGAACTTAATTATGGGTGAAGAACAGAATAAGATTTCTTGTTCCAAATTAGAAAAAGAAAAGGGTTTCCTTGATGCCTGAGACAAGATTGAAGACAGAAATAAAGTGAATAAATTACCCATCAATAAAGTGAATAAATTATCATCTCCATGAAACATAACCTTCCTCTGAGAAACTGCTTCATAGCATATTAAGTGGAGGTATATTTGAGGGGAGACATTGCGAGGCAGCCATGAAATAGCTAGCAGCACTACACAATTAAATGTGACAGCACTGAAACTAAAAGGGCAGTTAAAACAATATGCACGCTTCTTCTACTTCCATATACACTTGAGACTTTAAAAAATTATACAGGAAGGTGGTCCAGAAGAATGCAATGGAGTTTAAAATAATAGTTTTCCTAAGCAGTATTTTAAGAAATGAAACTCATTCATTTGCTCTGAGAAATTTCAGAGAACTTTCTGCCTCTGCCCTTTGAAAACTAAAAAAATACTTTTGAAGAGTGCTCTTAAATAGTAAACAACTGTGGTTAAAAAATATATGGCAGGTGCTTGCCACTTGGTCTTCACATTATGAAATGGATGCATGATATGGTGAGTTTTGTTTCTCAGAGATATTTTTTTTCATACTCAAAACAGCATGAGTAAAATTAGTTACCCCTGCACGACAATAAACAGTGCCCAGAGATAGTTGGTAGGCTGGGAACAGGATAGGCACTTTTGTTTGGTTGGTGTAGTCCTTGATGCTTTTGACTTAGGACTTTTTGAAGAGTCTGGTATATGAGTGAAGCACAAAAGTCACGTAATTCCATTTTTGTTGTGTTTATTGAGATTAATTTTTTCTTGAGTTAATTTTTCTCACTTTGCATGGTACAATTTAATGTAGAGATGCCTCTCATTTTAATGAACTGTTGTTCCTCAATATGCCTGAGTAGTAAAAATAATAATATAATAACTAATAAAAGTGAACACACATTCATGAGAACTTATCTGTGTGTCTGACTTGTATCTCACATTCATTATCTCCTCAGAACCTCGCAACCACCCTATGGCATAGCTTATCATTTCCTTTATTTTAATAACTTAATAACATCAAGCTACTGGCTCATGGTCACATAGCTAATTAGTGCTACAATTTGACTCTGAAGCCTAGTGTCAACAAAAATTATATAACCAAAGGAAGAAATTTCATGAAGGCATGGAGATAGAAACTCTAAAATGTCATCATTCATTCATTCATTCATTCATTTACTCAACAGATTTACCTTTGATTGCTTGCTCTATGCAAATCACTATATTAAGTACTGCATGTATCTTGGAGAGTCCACCATTTTTTTTTTGTGATCTATACTCTTGTGCTTACAAACTAGTGGAGAAACAAATTAATCAAATAATCTCAGTAGTATTTATTTATAAATTGAGATCAATGCTTAAAGGAAAAACAACATAGTTTTATGAGAGCTGCTAAGAAAATATTCTGACTTAGGTGGGATAAAGGAGTGAAAGGAGTGTACGGAGTTTCACTCTTTTTACTAGAAGGAGTGAAACTTGGTCTCTGAGATCTGAGAAATGAGTAAAAATCAACTAGGTAAGGGGTATTGTGGGAGGGAAGTTTTCCAGACAGGGGAAATAATATGTGCAGAGGCCCTGATGAAAGAGGAACACTTTTTCTTCAAACATGAAAAGGAAGACTGTGGTTGGATGCTGATAGGGAGGAAAGAGTGGCATGAAAAGGCTCTTTTTGTCTGTTCTTGGAAGGGCTTGGGTTCTTAATCTAGAAGCAGTAGGAAACTATTAAGCACTTTAATTAAAGAGGTAATAGCATCAGATGTGCAGCAGTTACTTTGGGGGGCATCTGAGAACATTGGGTGGAAGGGAGTATGTCAGTTAAAATAATAACCAATGAATCACAGAAAATTTTAGTATAGAGATCAGAGTGAGGGAGTAGGAGATAAAGGCAAGGATGAAGATCTGAACAGAGAGAACATTAAAAAAAAAAAAAAAGAACAATAAAACCCAATGTCAGATTTTGGGGAGGTTAGATCTTCAAATAATCTAGTTGAAAGGACACAAGGTCTGGCAACTACATGGGGGTCTGACTTCAGTTTGCTCACCTGTCCCCAGGAGACTGGAGGTCTGGGAATATAACAACCCTCCATTTTTCACTTTCCCACCTTCATCTTCTAAGGGGCTAGGTTAGACCAGACCATCCTTCAACCTGCTAAGCATAATAGGATTCCAGGGACCTTTTGTCACAAACAACTCACCAATTATAAATCTCTCCAGTTATTGTGTGATAGAAGAAATTACATTACTAATGACAGAAAAACCTTAATCACATTATTAAGGATTTAAAAATACTTGTGATGCTATTTTTTAACATAGGCAAGTTTCAAATCAGTTTGGCTTATCTGCAAATATAAATATCAAGGTTGATGGGCACTTGGTATCTAACATACTCAAATGGAAGCAGGGGCAAGAAATGCAAGCAGAGGAAGGGTTGGGACTTAGATGACAAAATTTTGAAATAGAAGTTGGTCTCAAATTATTTATTATGTATATGCAAATTAAGCAGTTCACCTTCCTGTGATTTGTGTATATTTAATGATAGATTTAGTATAATTATTTCACTTAAAATGTATTTATTGAGCATCTACTATGAGCTATCACTGTGGTAGGTGCTGAAGTGATGGTGATAAGCAATGCAGACATTCAGGTAAACTTTACTTTGACATAGTTTTATGTTCAGAAATTTTATTACCTAAGAAATTATTAAATGAATAATAGTCTATATAAATAGAAAGTCTTGATTTCTTGACATTGGCTTCCAGATTAAAGAAAAATCATTAAATCCTTAAGAGTAGCATACTATATAAAGCAGTATGATAATTGATTAATGTCTTTCTATATGTCAAACCAGAAGCATTTGGGACCTATGGAATTCTAAGAACCCTTTATTGTGTCTTCTGCTGAGATTTCACTTGAGCAACAGTTGAATGTAATTGATACTGCATTTACTGAAACCATTACCATAATCTATTTCAGGGCCGACTTGATTCTCTAACGGAAGTGGATGACTCAGGACAGTTAACTATCAAATGCTCTCAAAATTACTTATCTCTGGATTGTGGCATTACTGCATTTGAACTGTCTGACTATAGTCCAAGTGAGGATTTGCTTGGTGGCCTGGGTGACATGACCTCTAATCAAGTCAAAACCAAACCTTTTGACTCTTGGAGCTACAGTGAGATGGAAAAGGAGTTCCCTGAGCTTATCCGAAGTGTTGGGCTGCTTACAGTGGCTACTGACTCCATTCCCTCCAACTGCAGTGAAGCAGCCAGTGAGGATGCATCTCAAGTATCTCTCTTAGCAGACAACAAAAGTGGATGTGAGGAGAACAATGCCTCCACAGTCAAAGAACAGCCAGGCTTAATGCCTGGGATGTCATCTTCTGGGGAAACTCTGATAAATGCTCTTCAGTCGTCTCCTGAGGCTGGGAAGCAAGATGCCAAACCCTCCTCCCAACCTGGAGCAAAGAACCAACAGCCTCTTCCTTGTGAAAATGCAACTCCTAAGCGATCCATCAGAGATTGCTTTAATTATAATGAGGACTCTCCCACACAGCCCACGTTGCCAAAAAGAGGGCTTTTCCTTAAAGAAAAAATGTTTACGATTAATCTGAAAGGTACTGTTGGGAAGAAGCCAATGGCTGATCTCAAGCCTGAGATGAGCAGAAGTACCCCTTCTCTGGTGGATCCTCCTGACAGATCCAAGCTCTGCCTGGTATTACAGTCTTCTTACCCCAGTAGCCCTTCTGCTGCCAGTCAATCATATGAGTGCTTGCATAAGGTAGGGGATGGGACTCTTGAAAATGCAATCAAAAGTCACATTAAGGAAATGTCTTCCAGCCTGGGAAGGCTTAATGACTGCCATAAAGAGAAACCTCGACTTAAAAAGCCACACAAGGCCCTAGAAGAGGTGCCTCCATGCCAAATGCCTAAACAGGGAACTGATTCAGACAAGCAAGCAGAAAACAGGAGGAGCACAGTAGTGCCAAATGGAATTCCGTTAGGCACTTCCAAGATCATCGAAACAGATTCTGCTTCTACATCCTCACTTGAGCCATGCATTCAGAGACGCTGGAATGCCAAGTTGCCAGCACAGTCAGAAACTTCCAGTTCACCACCTTTTACTCAAAGCAGTGAATCCTCTGTTGGCTCAGACAGCATCATGTCTCCGGTCCCCCTTCTTTCAAAACACAAAAGCAAAAAAAGTTACTCCTCTCCCCCAAGTCACATCACTAGGAATGGTCAGATAGTGGAAGCCTGGTACGGTTCTGATGAGTACCTAGCACTGCCCTCCCATTTGAAGCAGACAGAAGTATTAGCTTTGAAGTTGGAAAACCTAACAAAACTTCTGCCTCAGAAACCCAGAAGAGAAACCTTTCAGAATATTGATGACTGGGAACTATCTGAAATGAATTCAGACTCTGAGATTTATCCAGTGTACCACATCAAAAAGAAGCACACAAGACTAGGCAGGGTGTCTCCAAGCTCATCCAGTGACATAGCCTCTTCACTGGGGGAGAGCATTGAATCTGGGCCCCTGAGTGACATTCTTTCTGATGAAGAGTCATGTATGCCTCTCTCTGTCATGAAAAAATACACTGAGGAGAAGACAGAGAGAGTTTCATCTTCTGAGAAAAATGAGAGCCATTCTGCTGCAAAATCTGCTTTAATTCAGAAATTGATGCAAGATATTCAACACCAAGACAACTATGAAGCCATATGGGAAAAAATAGAGGTAAGATGATCTTCTTAATCTGAGTTATTTATCACCTGATTTCTGGAAGTAATGCTAGGAAAAGGTTAGTTCCTCCAGACCCAGTTACAAGTTTTGGTAAACCCAAACTTTTGATAAGCCTAGTTGAATTCCTTAAAGAAAAAAAGCATATATAAACACAATGATCACTGCATTGTGACAGAATATGTATCACTAGCAACTGGCCTTGTCAAGGCATTAGCTTGATGTGTCCCTGGTATAGAATTCTCTGGTATATAATTCTCTGCCAATGTAGTTTAAACTTTAAACCTAAATGGCTCTAGAAGAAAGGTGGGCTCCCGTGAATGGAATGAAAGATAAAATAGAACATTAGCTGTGCATATTTTGGCAATCTTTGTTTTTCTTCAGTCTTCCTCCTCCTTGAGCCCTTTGACTAATAATTATGCTACCAAGACTGTGTGCTGTTCATGGACTATGAGATAGGGAACTTACCTTTTGGGTAAATCTACACTCTTGGAATGAATTATAGATGTGATTCAATATTTGAGGACAGATTTATCAAAAATCTTAAGAACTTCATAATATAATTTGTGATTTAAGTATATAAGTATAGTACAAATGGAAAGAATAACCTATGGAAATAAAATGGAGATACATAAAACATAGAGGGAAAGTTAACAGCAATATAAAATAATAGTAGTATTAGTGACATGTATTTGCAATTGTTTTTACTAAATATTTATGTATCCAGTCCTTATAACACCACTAATAAAATCCCCTGTTTCATAGACAGGAGGTTGAGACTGAGACAGTCTGTTCTAGAACCCATGCTCTTAACTAAATGTTCCCATGACTCTATATAAGGAGTGATCAATATGTACTACATGAAGAAAATAAATAATATCACTAGAATTTTACTGGGAAGTTCTAATGAGGTACTAAATCTTTACTGGCATTTTGAAGGATGTCCCTATATATAGACAGAGAGATGAAAGGTCGATATTTTATTTTATTTTATTTTTTTAAAGATTTATTTATTTATTTATACAAGCACTGGGTATAGTCAGAAGCGCGGGAGGGTGAGAGAATTCACCAGATCCAGAGTGGGGAGCAGAACAGGCAGAAGGACTGAAGTACACTGCTGAGGGGAGCAGTGGGCGGCAGGAAAGGTCTGCGCACATGTGGGACCTTCGCCCTGCGGCCGGGGATCGAACCAGCGCTGCAGAGGCTGCAGGCAGCTTCGCAGCCCAGTGCTCAACCGCTGCACCACCAGGGAGGCCCAAGGTCGATATTTTAGACAGAGGAACATAAACTAAACACAGAGATAGAGATTGTGAATGAGCATGGACATGGAGGTGCACTGAAAGCCATCCTTACTAGACAGTCTGTAGTCAGAAAGCAATGATAGTTTCTGTGCATATAGTAGACCTGGCTCTGTAAGGTCCTGAAGGCTAGACCAAGTCAGTTAGGATCTGCCAAAAGGCATCCATGGCAACTTCTCTGAATGTGACTGAGAATAGTATTATGACTCACAATAATGCTTCTTGAGCTCCTATTTTCTGCTCAACTCTGCATTAAGAACTTTACAAGTCTTACTCTAAGTCCTAGGAAGACAGGAATTTTTCAGATGAAGATGCTAAGGTAGAGCTTGGGTAGAAAACTTACTCAAGGTCTTACAGCTGGTATATGCAGAGACAGGACTTGAAACCAGAGCCAGTACACTTAAAACAGTGTAGACAATGGCTTTCAGGAACCTTTCCGGAAAGTTTAATTGGCAATAATAGGAATAAATAGTCTTGGCGGCCATTGTAGTAACCAGGGTGAGGATGCTGGCCTATTTTAGCCAATGTAAGGGATGACTGTGATGTGGACTGGGCAATTGTGGAGACAGAAGAGCTCTTAAAGAAGTGAACAGGGCCCACATCTTGTGGGTGATTCCATATCTCGCTCTGTTATTAAAGCCTTGAGTGATCCATAGATAGTCATGTTCCATTCTGGTCTTCATTTCTTTTGTAAACAGAAAGTTGTTTTTTTTAATTGAGCGAACATTGGTTTTACAACACTATGTATAGAGGTATAGGACCACACCTCTTTAGATGTATCTTACTTACCACACCACATTTAAGTATATTATGGCTATGATACCAATTTCCAATGGCAGCATTTTTTAAAAGATTTATTTATTTATGCATACAAGAACTGGGGTGTAAGCCAGAGGTGCAGGGGTGGTGGTGAAAGGATTCACCAGGTACAGAGTGGGGAGCAGAACAGGCAGATGTACTGAAATACACTGCTGAGGGGAGTAGTGGGTGAGGCAGGAGAGGTCTGTTGCACCATGTGGGCTCCTCCCTGACCGGCCGGGGATCGAACTCTTGCTGCAGTGGCTGGCAAAAGCTTGACCGCATTGTCTTTAAGTCCTGCACCACCATGGAGGCCCAGCGGCATATTTTAATTCCATAATTCCATAAAGATAAAGCCAAGTTTTCAGCTTCTGAGGACTTGGGTATATCTGGTTTGAGATGGAAGTAGGGCAGGTAATTAAAAAAATATGCATTGGTAATGAGTATAAGCTGAAACTTAAGAGGAACTGTCTTATATACAGTTGGGAATACTGCCCTTTAATTGGGTAATGAGGTGAAGGCTAAAAAATTATTAAGCCTCTTTCTCTTTCCAACTCCCTTCATTAATTTATGTGGGGATAGCTCCCAACCCCAGGTCATCTGACCTGAATATCACAGTCTTAACTTTGATCTCTTCCAAATCATGACCCAGAACCTATTCTACATGCAAAATATAAATTAGTAAGAAAAAGTTATTATTTAACATCTTTTTTTTATACCAAGTATCTACTAGGCACTTTACTTGCAGTAATTCTCCCATAGGATTCTCATAACAACCCTCCCAGGTAGGCTTTATTATCCAAAATTGACCATTGTCTTCCCTGGCAATGCTTGTGCTCAGGTCCTTGCCACCATCACTTCCTGCCTGATTAATTGCAGTGGCCTTTAACTGGTCTCTCTGCTTCCATCCTTCTCCCATGGTGGTCTGTTTCCAACACAGTAGCCAGAGTAGTCCCTCTCAAACATAAATTACATGTCACCTTCTGCTCAAAAACATGCAAGAGCTCCCATCAATTTCAAAAGCTCTACATGGCGTGAGTGCCTAATTTCCTCTCTTAACTCATTCCCATGCCATTCCTGCTGTTCTTTTGTTTTTCCTTTGAACAAGCTTGGCCTCACTCTGTATTCAGGGTCTTTCTCAGTTCCCTCTGCTTACACCCTCTCCACCAGATGCCCTCATTTCTAAATCCTTTTCCTCTTTTGAGTCTTTGCTCAAATATTTCCTTAGAGAAGCCAACCCTAACCACTCTTTAAAATATGTAACCTGACCTCTTTTTCTTTTTATTCCTACAACTCTCACCATATTTTCCTGTCATTTTATACAGTTCTCTTATTTTGCATGCTTATTGATTTTGGTTTTTCTCTCACAATTAGCATAAGAGCTCCATGAGGGCAGGAATATTTGTCTGTTTACTAACAAACCTCAGTACCTAGGATAGTACCTGGTACATAGTAACTACATGGTAAGTAAGATTGTTGAATGGATGAATGAATCTTCATTTTGGAGAAGAGGAAACTAGTTCAAAGAGATGAAATCACTGTTCCTAAGATGTATATCTACTAAGTCATAGAGGTAGGATTCAAGTCCCATTTGATTTATTATTCCCATTAGATAAACTCTTGAGAACAGATAAATTCCTTGAGTGGATGAGAACAGATGGAGAAGGGCTGTGGGCTGACAACTGAGTCTCAAGCTGTAATCTAGTTGTGAGGCAGGAACAAGAAAGAGGTCTAAATTTGGGCACCAGAATGGAAGAGAGGATTCCCAGGCACTAATAGAGAGAGAAGAGATGTTCACTAAGAACATTAGCTTTGTTCTCTGCAAAAGAGAGATCAAGAAGAATAAGGACAAATTAAAAAAAAAAGACAACTCTCAGATTTATTTTATTTTATTTTAAAGATTTATCAGATTTATTTTAAAGAGTCAATGAGAACCTAAGAGAAAAAGACACTTAATGAAAGAATATGTTATAAGTGATTAAAAATTGAGAGATAGTCATTCCTAATAACTCATGGAATTGAGTCATGAAGGCAATATGAGACAGAGGATAATAGTTGAAAGTAGAGTCAAATGAAAATTTCTTTAAAAAAATTAAAGCTTATTTGAAGTCAGAAAGAAAAGGCTCAGCAAGAGAACTTGAGGTGGCCAGAAAGAGTGTATAAATATGGCACATACTGAGGCAAGAAGGGCGGATATGTGGAACTCTATAGAAAGGATTATGACCTGATTTAAAAGTTATAAAATACTATGTCCTGCTTCTGATCCCATCTCTATCAAAGATGGGATGTATCTACCAAAGATGATGTTTCTCCTATGACATCCCAAGTTCTCTACCTTGTGTTCACACAGAGCACAAGGCAGAAGGTACATATAAGTCCACTAAACAGGTGAGAGGCTCTCCTGGACTGTGATAGAATTGCTGGATAACACCCAAGTGATGTGTGTCTTTCAGGTTCCACTTACTCCTTGCCCAGCACTTGTGTGCCTTTCTTTTAATAGACTGATTCTGCTAGTGTGAAAAAAAAATTAATGTGTATTTTTTATTCTTTAAAAAATTCAATTTCTTTGAATAAATAATAATATTCATGTGGCTCAAAACAGATACATTATATATGGAAATACGTAGTAAAAATTCTCTTATGTCTTTATTTCCCACCTTGACCTCCTGGCTCACCATGGGTGATCATTGTTGTTTTTAGTTTTTTGATCTTTAAGGAGCTCTTTACACAGATCCAACATATTTATTTAGTTATACTAAGTAATACTTTAAAACTGGAAAATAAGGTACAACTTCCTCCACAGGTCCAAACTTTGTGAATTTCCATGGAGATGGTCCTTTGGCCATTCTTGTTGTGAGGGTCAAGGGAATTTTGCTCAGATATGACTGATTTCCTCAGGTC